GCCGCACTCTCCCCAGTGCGCCACGGGGCCGGCCCAACCACATTTTCTTTATCTGTTTATCAGTTGATGGGAATTTGGATTGTTTCCACTTTTTGGTTATCAGGAATAAGGCTGCTATGGACATTCATGGGCATGGTTTTGAGTGGACATACATTTTCAGTCCTCTTGGGTATGTACTCAGGAGTGGGATTTCTGAGTTACATGGTAACTCTATGTTTAACTTTGAGGAACTGCCAGACTGTTTTCCAAAGTGACTGCACCATGTCACATTCCCACTGGCAGTATATGAGGGTCCTAATTTCCACACATCTTTCCAACACTTGTTGTCATCTGACTGTTTGATACTTCGATTCTTATGCAGTTATTATGGTAATTTCTAATGTTACTCAAACCAGAAGGAATGCTTGTTTGGTCCGTGACATTCCTTCCCTGCTATCAGTCCATGTTCTGGATGTTGCCGAGAAGGTGGAGGTGTGATGCTAACACCGCAGCCCCGCAGGGGCATACACCTGTTTGCTTTCCCTTAAACATCAGGCATGCCGGCGGGTTTGAAAGCGCTTTCCTTTGTAATCTTGCATGTCCCTTCACCTTTCCTCTCTCTTCCTCCTTTGCCAGGGACCTTGAAGCCAGGGCGCAGAATGAGTTCTTCAGGGCCTTCTTCAGGCTGCCGAGGAAAGAGAAGCTGCACGCGGTCGTCGACTGCTCCCTCTGGACGCCGTTCAGTCGCTGTCACACCGTGGGGCGGATGTTTACCTCTGACAGCTACATCTGCTTTGCCAGCAGAGAGGACGGCTGCTGTAACGTCGTCCTTCCACTCAGAGAGGTAGAGGTGCCTCTCGCCTCTGCTGCCCTACTGTGTGCTTCCTGAAGTGGCCTCTGTCCTTTGAACCCGGGGTGGTTGCTGGCTACCAGGTGGGGCCTGGAAGGGGACGTTCACACAGCATGGCTTTGCCATCTGAAAATACATGTCTCGATGACCAGGCTTTTTGAGGGACACGTGGTCTGAATCAGGCCATTACCTGTTTGCTTGTTGCTTTCTCTCTTGTTACTATGGTGATCTGAAATTAGCCTAGATGTGATTGGTGAGAACAGGGTACCCTAACCTCCACATTATCGATAAAGCTGTTTTTAAAAGTACATGCCTAGCAATTAAAGCTTTTCCAGCAGCTCTTAGGAATGAATCCTCCCCTCTTACCCACTATAAAAGAAAAAGAAAAAAGGCAACCTACAAAAAGCATCACCTTTTGAAAGTAAATGGCAAACTGGCTTGGCTCTTACACTCCTCTGGAACTTCAGTTAAAAATTTAAAATGCCTCCTTTAACATGGATCTGGTCCCTTCCTCCCATAAAATTCTGTAATTCTCTTCTTGGAGACGGGAGGTAACCAGAGCTTACTTCTGGATCCAGGCATCTCAGTCCTTCGGTTCCAGGCATCTCTGTTGAGGTCATGCCCACCACACTGTCACATACCAGGACCTATGGATTCATGTTTCTGGTAACACAAGTACTGAGCACTGTTCTTTGGAAAAATTTTTTATTCATGTGATCTCCTACCTCCATGTCATTATTCTGTAGTAGATGTTTTCTTTTTACAAATATTGTTACTTATTAATGAAGTAAGAAATCCAGGTTTACATACTTTAAAAAAATTTTTTTGGAATCATATATGAGGTATTTTTAAAATTTCTTGGAAAAATATAATTAAAAGATAATATGAACCTTTCCATGAACTTTTTGAAGTATCC